ACTCTTTCCATGTACAAGTTGTTAGGCCTAGAGAGTGGATATTTCCCCTTAGTAAGCTCAAAACCCGAAAAAGTAAAACTTTTAAGTTTGTAACTTTCAGCTCCAAAACAGACACACAAATTTAATTCAAGATGTATCATACTCTGCAACACCGGCCTGAGCGTGGATACCTGTGCCACATTTCTCAAAATCAGTGCACAAAAAGGCTGTTCTGTCCAGGTGACATCAAGATATTTGTACTCTTCAAGACACAGGAACTTGCGTAGACACAGATGAAAATTTTTAACAAACTTTTGCTTACAATATTTATCTATCTGCACTCAGAGTACAACCTACTAACAGACTCACTGTGGTTGCATATATATATATGTATATATACTCAAGCCCCTGACCATTGCCTTTTCCATGCCTCACAATACTGGAGACAAGAAGATCCAGTAGTTGAGGGCTGTTACTTCCCATACAAACACAATTCTTCTCCTGGCATGCAGGACTGGTTGGTAAAGGTGATATAGTCTATTTACCAGAAAAAGGCATAAGAGTATGGAAGACTTCTACCTTTCATTCTCAGATCTTGAGCATATCTGTAAGCAGATAGACAAAAGATTTATGGAATGAAAGTTCTCACCAGCCTCTTATTTTAAGCCTCAGGTTTAGGTTAGGAGATTAAGTTTTCTACATAAAAGCAGAATGCCAGAGGTCCCGCTCAACTGTTTCTACCACTGGTGTCGCAAACAGACAATAAGTGCAGGAAAAGTTGCCATACAGTATATAACTGCTGTCCCAGTTCAAGGAGCAGAACCTACAATGCTGCCTTCCTAATCTGTGATCTACTAATGGGAAAAACACACCCAAACCCAAGATATTTCCAGAAAATGATCAGTCCTTTTCTTGAAAGGTTGCCTTTCTTTGCTGTGGAATCATAAAGATTTTACTGACAGTGAGCTACTTCCACAACAGCGGCATAAATGCAGCCAATAGAAAATTTTCCATTGGATGTGTTGGTTCAGAAACTATCAGCAATTACTGCTAAGAGCCTTTATTTTCAGGAATGCAAATGAAAATGGATTCAGTATGTTTTACACAAAATCAGGAGATTTGCTCTTTGTTAAATCAACTTTTTTAAGAAGCACAAACTAGAAAATTTGAGAAATAGCATGAAAAGTAACCTTTTAAAATGATAAATAGGAAGTCCAGATTTGCCAAGGTGTTGAGAACAGTAATTTATTTTTACATTTACAAGACAAACATGAATAATATTTAAAGTAGTATTTACAGATATATACAAATATTAAAAATTTATCTTATAATTTGGAAAAAACCTGGCAGATAACGTATTTTTTAGCAATATAGCCAAGATACAGTACTTTTTTTTTTAACTTGGAAAGGGTATCACCTCAGTTCAAGGAAAACCTGCAGTTTCTGAATGAAGAAATGAAGGAAGAGCAAAAATTTAAGATTCACATAAGGTAAACCATCATAGAAAATGGTATTATGAACATTCACATTTTAAAATTAAGGCAAAGCCTTGAAAAAAATACTAAAATCTAGACTTCCCCATAATTTTGTTAAAAGGGACTTCACTCACCTCACTTGACATTCTCACTATAAATGCTTTTAAAAAACTTTTGAACAAGAGTAAACATTTAAATAAAGCACGCTTTATGCTTCCTCCTACCGGCATTCAATTATTGCTAGGGCTACACATGAAAGGCTACTTGCCAAAACTTTGATTCAATATTATTGTGGGGTGTTTTGAAGACTAGAATACAATAGACAAATTGTCTGGACAATATTTAAAATTTTATTAGAATCCATATCCAGAATTTTCTTTTAAATTTATAGATTTATAATAAGAGTTTTTTAAATGGATATTTGTGAGGATTCCTAGGAAATTCAACACAACCAAATAGTACAGAGGCATAATAAAATTAACCTGCCTTTTTGATATAGAATAGCAGAAAGCACTTTCTTGATTTTCTTTGTGGTTAACTTCATATCCTAAAAAAATCTTTTATTGGACAACTGACAATCTGTATTGGGATGGATGGATCACAATCGCCGTAGATTCTGTTTGCTTTTCTTAGTCCCAGGGAGTGGCCCTAGCTTAGAGTTGGGTTTCACTGTTTTGCCACTCATACAGTCACTGGAGCTGTGGTAGCTGCACATGCACTTTGTGCAAAAGTCAAAGCCACAACTTTCACGATTGCACATCGCTCTTTGTAGATAGGAGTCATACTTTGCAGGTGAGCCACAGCGATGGCAGACTTTAAGGCTCTCAGTGTTTTTCAAGGTCTTAGCAGCCTGTTGGAAAAAGCATATAAAGAAAATCCTGAGCAGAGGGGTAAACACACACACCAAACATTCCCTGATGTTCCCATCTAAGTGCCACAAAACATATTATTACTTCTTCTCTAGACAGATAAATTACAAATTTAGCCTAATTCTGGTTGTATCAGATACCGATGGAGATTGAACAGGAATAATCAGTCTATAACTGCAGGTACTTTGAACTGGAATAGAGGTAGCCAGTTTAAAATTTTTTAAATTTTAAAGGACAGACTAAATGCAAAGCAGCAAGAAAAACAGCCCTCCTGAATCATCCCAAACTCATCCAAGGATGGTGATTTAGTTAACTTTAATTTAAAAAAAAAGAAAATAAATCTGAATTCCATTTAAACCATTAACATTTTTGATAAGTGAGCAATGTGTCCAGGAATCTCAGCTGTGGGGCACTCTGCTTGAGACACCAAATGGAAGCAATTCCTACTTCTCTCCGATGAATTCATTTTTGACACAAAAACAGATCCACCATTCAAAATCATTCAGCATTAGAAAATTATAGATCAGTATACCACTTTATATCACTCAGTTGTTAAAAGGAAAATGTTTTTATAACCTAAAAGCATGTGTAGACATATATATATGTTTATCAAGGAAAAAATTTTAGACTGCTACTTCAGTGTACAGTTGAACTTTCAGATTCCTAATGCTACAAAATACTATACAGTAGTATTAGAGCAGCTTGACCATACTTTCCAGTGCAATTAGATCTCCTTCTCTTATTGCACCAATTTGCAGAATAAGACTTTTGAACTTGAGTATAAAAACTTTTTCTAGTTAGGAAAATATGTTGCCTATTAACAAACAACGACTTTGAATAAACATTTTTTAAAAGTCTTATAAGACACTTGCAATGTAAGACCTGCACCCATACAGGAAAAAAAAGCTTAAGAAAAATAACAAGGTGAAGGGAAACTTAGGCTGTTGGCAGCTGTTGACAACTCCAAATGTGTGACACACTACAAATATGTAGTTAAAAAGGTATTTTCGTGTTAGATAATTAGTTGGTAAAAAAAGCATAGAATGAACAGGAGAAATATTAATTTGTTTAATTTTAAAAAATAAGTATTTATTCTTTGGTCTTTTTTTTTTTTTTAAATTGCCCATCAGTGTGAAGCAAAAGTGACAGTTTTTGTTGGATTGCTTATCTGGAAAACACGTGATTCATTATAAGCTCATGGGAACTAAGGAAATGACTAAACGTTTTCATGTCTGATTCAAGCCAAAATTTAAGCAAAAAAAAAAATCACTAAGTCATTTTGAGCGTACATAGACACCTGGGGCGTAGAATATCAATAGTGTATCAATATTCTCTGCTTAAGTTTCTGACATTGTCTTAGAATAGGCTCAATAAGCAAAATCTGGCAGCCATATTAATAAGTTACAAGCACTTCAAACTGAAGATACTACTTTCAGAAATATGCTTTACAAGCTGACCATGTGCCAGACAACACGTGAGAAATTAAAGATGAATGGAAATCACCAGTTACCTCAGAAAACTCCATAAGCCTGCTGTGATTCTTAGATGCTTTGGATCTGGTGCCTTTTTTATTCAAGCTGTTTGGTGGAGTTGCTTTCTGAATGGAAGCTAATGCTGCTCGATAGAGAACATACTCCCTTGTTGCAGCATGCTCCGATGCCTTAGTGCCATTCTAAAGAAAAGAAAAACAAAAATAAAATTTGAGAAGAGATTTATCTAATAGTGACTTTCTGTTTAACGGAAGTCAACAACTTATTTTTGATTCTTCCTCCTGGCTAGGTTTCCAATCATAAAGCATCACACCAAGTAGTATGCTACTAATTTTACCTTAGCTTTCTCACTACTGTTATAAATGCACGGAACAGCCCCCTCGTTCGGACCATCAAAACCAACCAACTTCTATTACATAATGCAACTTACTTTCATATTAACACATCACACTTATTTAGGCAGAGCATGTAACCAAGTCACTGCAATGTTTTAAAGCACAAAGCAATATTTTCAATTCTTTACAGTGAACAGGGATGCTTGAAGTTTCCTTTCTGAGAAGCGAACCCCTCCCACCAAATTTCTAAGTCTGCAATTCAGGTTAAAAGGAAGCATACAATGGCAGGGAGGAAATCAAATTTTATGGGATGAATGTTCAGTGCTGGTCAGCTGTTTCATCCCAACAGGCTAGCACCATAAAATACTACATGAAATTCAAACTAGTCAACTACCTTATTCTGTGGCAGATCCTAAGCCTTGTTTCATTGTCTCCATCTCTCAAGGAAGAAAAACAGCCCTAGTGTGTCTTGGTAAAGTGCAATGCTGCTGTGCTTTGATCTCACATTTTTTATTTCATAGGACAAATAGGCATTAGGAATAGCTCACAGTGCAAAAGGCTTTTCAGTTTTCTACAGCCAACATGTTGCACTGCAGAGACTGTTGCTAGAAAGTTTAAGCAGAGAACCAGAGTCACACAGTCAGCGAGGTGGTTTCTCTCATTCTCTCTCCTGGATCAGTGGGGATGCTGAAGCAAGCAAGCCTCTGCCGAGAGCCCCTAGGGCTTGCCCAGCGGGCAGTGCTGGAAGCAACCCTCTCCCTTCCTGCCTTCCTCTGTAACACAGGACACATGGAAGCTCTTAAGAACATCTGCATCTCTCCTTGAGTAACCTTCTCAGTCAACCTTTCTTGGGCTCCAAAGACAGTGAAGTCACTAGCAACACTTGAGACCGGGCATCTTAACAGGACAAACTCTGACACATCAGTGACAATGTTTTCAATCTAAGAAACTCTTCTGCTATCTCTTAAGTTTGGGAGGCACCCTGAAAGAGCAGAAAGACGCTGCTGGTTTAGGCTTGAAATATCTAATGAGTGCAGAAACTTACAGAAAGGTTTTTCACAGCTTTACTATACATTTGGAAAATCCATTTATCATCTTGTAGAATCTTCTGCCATGTTGTGCTGACTTTGGCAAAACTGCAACGACAATACAAACATATCAGTTACCTCCTAGGAAAGGAAAAAACTTTTTATTTAATAGTGGGAATAACTATGTAATTTTTTTTCATATGGAAGATGGGATATGTCCACAGTTGTAGTCTTTAATTTGCCTTCTAGGGAAAAGACATGTTCTCCATATATATCATGGCTTACATTGATAGTTCATGTTTTAATATATTGACACATAATACTAACGAATGAGTAAATGTCACAAGCCCCATATCTAAAATATTCTTAAGCCATCTGATTAGGTTTTTTACTTCCCGAATGAAATACAATGAGATCAATATACTTACTTTATTAAATCCATCTCACCAAGATGCCTTAAAATGTTTGCTAATATATGCTTCAGGTTCTTTTGGAAGAGTTCAGCAAGAATGTCTATTCTATCTAATCCCATTTTCTTTCCAATTAGGTTACAAAGTTCAACCTTTCCCCTGAAAACAATTCTGTCTACTGCAGCCCAAGACTTGAGATTTCTTTTACCACTTTTTTTCAAAGTTGAGCAAATCATTTCTTCGTAATGGATTACCGGCAACAAAGTCTTCTTTGAAAACTGTGGTTGGTTTTGGTTCTTCATGAGACAATGCTTTGGTGTGCCACAGAGATTCCCAGCCAAAGGTATACTATCCTCATGTTCTATTGCATCAGCGTATTGATTACTTAACATAGAGGAATAACCACTGTCCTCATTAAATTTACTGTTTTCCAATGCCTCCATTTCGTAAATACCTTCATCAAGTCTCTGTGTTGCGTGTTTATTTTCTTTGTTATGTACAGGTCTTCCTTCATCTTCAAGGTCTAAATTTCTGGTGGCCGCATGGTATGAGTCACTAAGGAGTATTTTCTGATGCTCTTCAGCACAGCTTTTACAAAAGCCTTCCTCATAATTCAAGGGGCAGGATTCTTCCAGTCTTGTTTTCTCCACAGCAGGTTTCAATGGTGCAAACCCAGCACGAAGAGACATACAATCAAAATCACATTTCATTTTGAAACAGTGATTAAGGTTTGATTTCATTATTTTGTTTGTATCCTGCAAGAAACAACAAGGACAGAATTACAACACCGGATAAACTACATCACAAAATTCTTTTTCTCATAAAGAACCGATCATGCCTTCCTTCTGCATTACAAATTTCAAGCTTTTATCTAACTCACCCTCTAGTGCCTAAACCACAGACAACTAGTGGAACTAAGGATTTGAACTGCCACACATTAAATCTATGTAAGACCATCTCAAAACTAGACGTTTATGCTGAGGAAACTAACTGGTAGATGTACTTTTTCACCATCCCATCAGTAGAGAGTACTTTTACACACACCAACGCTTCCGCTTCCTACTCTAAATGCACCGATGTACTCGGGACACTTGTGGTCCCTTGCAGGGGACACGAGTGGCAGAGGGTCCGTGAGTGACAGCAGGCCCGTGCAGGCGTACAGCCAGGGCAGAGCAGCCTGCAGTTGGGTTCCAAGGCCAGAGGCAATGCTGCTGATGCAGCCAGGTATCTGGCTTTTTTTAAAAGGGGAGGTGGCCGGGTGGCACGGGAGAACTCTGAGTGCTCACACGTCTTTATAACTTACACTGGAAAGCAGTGACCCTCCAACAATGGTCAAAGTGAAATAAAGGTTACTTACAAGCATGATTTTAAGAGGGTGAGAGGTCGATATATATTATAGGGAAATTGAGCTTTTATTGCCCTGTTTCTCCCCACCTCTCCCCCCCCCCCGAAGTGTGGTGCTATCTATATTAACAATTGCGGGGGATGGGCGAGGGCTGAAGAGGAGAAGGAAGCCATCTCTGTCGTGGTAGATCCAAGGGGCAAATAATTTTCAACATGCTTTGCAATCCTTAGGAAAAAGAAGCTCCCCCATTTGAGCACGTATTTTCAGAGGTTTAAAGAGATTTTTTTAAGCACTTAGAGCAGTTTTGGAAAAAAGTATTAAAGAAATGTGTTTCACGAACATTTCTGTGAAAAAGTCCCTCCTTCGTACCTACTTTTGGCGGCAGAAAGGAGCAAATACGCTTAGGGCTTTGTACAGTGTGAGCTGGGGGAGAGATGCAAGCCCTCGCTAAGCCTCCTACCCCCCTTCCCCCACGTGCCGCCAGCGAGCAGAGGAGCTTTTGGGCTGAGAACCTGCAGCACTGGGAAATGTCCCGTCCCCCGCCCCAGGGACGCCAGGACCAGCCCC